GGCAGGTGGCTGTTGTTGACTGACAGGTGACTGGTGACTGACAGGCTGGTGACTGACAGGTGACTGGTGACGACAGGTGACTGGTGACTGACAGAGTGGCTGTTGATGACGCTGACAGGTGGCTGGCGGCTGACTGGTGGCTGGTGACTGACAGGTGACTGGTGACTGACAGGTGACTGGTGACTGTCAGGTGGCTGGTGACTGACTGGTGGCTGACTGAGTGACTGACAGGTGGCTGGTGGCTGACTGGTGGCTGGTGACTGACAGGTGGCTGGTGACTGACCTGGTGGCTGACAGGTGGCTGGTGGCCTGACTGGTGGCTGGTTGCTAACTGGTGACTAACAGGTGGCTGGTGACTGACTGGTGGCTGGTGGCTGACTGGTGGCTGGTGACTGATGGGTGGCTGGTGACTGATGGGTGACTAGTGACAGGCAGGTGGCTGAGTGACTGACTGGTGACTGTCAGGTGGCTGGTGACTGACTGGTGGCTGACAGGTGGCTGGTGGCTGACTGGTGGCTGACTGGTGACTGACAGGTGGCTGGTGGCTGACTGGTGGCTGACAGGTGGCTGGTGGCTGACTGGTGGCTGTTGACGACAGGTGGCTGTTGACGACTGGTGGCTGGTGGCTGACTGGTGGCTGGTGACCTTTAACAGGTGACTGGTGACTGACAGGTGACTGGTGACTGTCAGGTGGCTGGTGACTGACTGGTGGCTGACTGGTGACTGACAGGTGGCTGGTGGCTGACTGGTGGCTGTTGACTGACAAGGTGGCTGGTATTGACTGTTGACCTTTGGTGGCTGGTGGCTGACTGGTGGCTGACAGGTGGCTGGTGGCCTGACTGGTGGCTGGTTGCTAACTGGTGACTAACAGGTGGCTGGTGACTGACTGGTGGCTGGTGGCTGACTGGTGGCTGGTGACTGATAGGTGGCTGGTGACTGATGGGTGACTAGTGACAGACAGGTAATGGTGACTGACTGGTGACTGTCAGGTGGCTGGTGACTGACTGAGTGGCTGACAGGTGGCTGGTGGCTGACTGGTGGCTGACTGGTGACTGACAGGTGGCTGGTGGCTGACTGGTGTGACAGGTGGCTGAGTGGCCTGACTGGTGGCTGGTGGCTGACTGGTGACTGACAGGTGGCTGGTGACTGACAGGTTGCTGGTGGCCTGACTGGTGGCTGGTATTGGCTGACTGGTGGCTGACAGGTGGCTATTAGCTGACTGGTGGCCTGGTGACGCTGATAGGTGACTAGTGACTGACAGGGGTGGCTGGTGGCTGACTGGTGGCTGACAGGTGGCTGGTGGCCTGACTGGTGGCTGGTGGCTGACTGGTGGCTGACTGGAGAGGCTGGTGGCTGACTGGTGACTGACAGGTGGTTGGTGACTGATAGGTGACTAGTGACAGACAGGTGTGCTGGTGACTGACAGGTGGCTGGTGGCTGACTGGTAGACTGACAGGTGGCTGGTGGCTGACTGGTGGCTGGTGACTAACAGGTGGCTGGTGACTGATAGGTGACTAGTGACAGACAGGTGTGCTGGTGGCTGACAGGTGGCTGGTGGCTGACTGGTGACTGACAGGTGGCTGGTGGCTGTCTGGTGGCTGGTGACTGAGAGGTGGCTGGTGACTGACAAGTGGCTGGTGACTGACTAGTGACTGGTGATTGATAGGTGGCTGTTGACGACAAGTGGCTAGTGACGAAGCTAGTGACTGGTGATTGATAGGTGGCTGGTGGCTGACGGTGGCGCTGGTGACCTGACAGGTGGCTGGGTGACTGACAAGTGGCTGGTGACTGACTAGTGACTGGTGATTGATAGGTGGCTGGTGACTGACAGGTGGCTGGTGACTGACAGGTGGCTGGTGACTGATAGGTGGCTGGTGACTGATAGGTGGCTGGTGACTGGCTGGTGACTGATAGGTGGCTGGTGGCTGACTGGTGGCTGTTGGCTGACTGGTGATTGACCTTTCCCGGACAAGGGAAAGAGGGATGTGCTAACTAGGTCATTGAACTTTCTCTAAGGGCTTGTGTGTGTCTGTGTGTGTGTGTGTCAAGTTGTGTCGTCCCTCATGCCCAGTTCTCAGTCACCTTACCTTTCACAACCATTCTTTTTTGTGGCCACTCAACCTTTCACTCCCTAAGCTAAAATTTGGTCATTTCCGGAGGAGTTTTTTCACATTTTTCTCGTCTCTCTCTCTCTCTCGTTGTCTATCTCTCTCTCTCTCTCTAGCCTCGCCAGATGAAAGGTTAAGGCGAATTAGCTCCCGGGGATTAGCAGACAGTGTAACCATGTCCAGTGCGAATTGGGAACAGCTCTATGCCTCTCCAAATGTTGAGGTTGAGAAGGTTAAGGGTAAAAGTATTTGGTTGAAGGAAGTGATTGTGAGGATGGAGGAGGAAGAAGTGAGAGGGGGAAAGAGTGGAAATGACAAGACAGATCAGTTTTTATCAGCCGAGAATTTAAACACGATACCCGAGGCACCGACTCTATACAGAGATAGTGAAGAAAATAGATTAAGTGAGAAAGTAGTGACTAGTAACGATGTTAGTAAACAAATAGACAAACTAAAGCCTAATAAGTCACCTGGTCCCGATGAGATACTTACCAGAGTATTAAAGGAATGTAAGGAAGAGCTTATGCCCTTAGCAAAGTTGTTTAACATGCCCTTAAAAACGGCTGTAGTACTAGAATGCTGGAGGATAGCGAATGTGATAACGATTTACAAGAAGGGCGATAGATCACTATCACCTAACTACAGTCCAATCAGTTAAACACCAGTTGTAGGCAAATGCAAACTCAATTCGAAATCACCCGGAGAAACACAAATTGATCAATGATTCCCAGCATGGCTTCATAAGTGGGCTTTCATGTCTGACAAATCTTTTGTCATTCTTTTAAACTGTTTCCGAGTCAGTGGACGACGGACACGATTATGATGTGGTATATTTCGACTCTGGCAAAACCTTGGACAGTATCCCCCACGAAAGACTGATACATAAAGTGGAGGCTCATGGCATTGGAGATGTTCTAAGCTGTATAAGGGCGTGGTTACAGGACAGGAACCAGTGTCAGCATTAATAGCACTATTTATTATATACATAAACGACATAGATATCGGCGTAGACAGCAACATAAGTAAATTTGCTGACGACCCTAAAATAGGGCGTGTAATTAAATCCGACGAGGACTCCGCAAAACTACAGGAAGATCTAAACATATTTTCTGCATGGTCTGAAAAATGGCAGGTCAAATTCAATGTGGAGAAATGTAAAGTACTCAGTATAGGAGATGTAAACGGAGAAATCAGATACCAGATGAACAACGATGTTATAGAGAAATCCGACTGTGAGAAAGATTTAGGAGTAATAATAAGTAGAAATCTTAAACCAAGTCAACAATGTGGATTTCCTCGAAACAAGGCTAACAAAGTACTTGGGTTCATACAAAGGAGTGTTAATTACAAGACTAGCGAGGTCATCCTAAAACTATATCTTTTGCTTGTGAGACCTCACTTGGATTACGCGGTTCATTTCTGGTCACCGTATTACAGAAAGGATATAGATCCCTTGAAAGAATTCAGAGGAGAATGACAAGACTAATCCAGGGTATTAGGAACCTTGAGTACAGAGACAGGTTAAAGCATCTTAATTTGCACTCCCTTGAGAGACGTAGAACGAGGAGCGATATGGAAGTCAGGGCTAAACAAAGGTGATATAACAAAGGTACTCAAACTATCCAACCAGGAGCGAACTTGTAACAATGGTTTTAAATTAGACAAATTTAGATTTTGGCACGAGATAGGTAAACATTGGTTTGGAATTAGTAGTGGATGAGTGGAACAAGTTACCAAACATCATCATTAACTCTAATACGCTGGATAGCTTCAAACATACAGTAGGTTGGATGGATATATGAGCGATAGGGGTTGGGTGTAAACGGGACTGTCCAGTATGGGCCAATAGGCCCACTGCAGTTTCTTCCATTCTTATGTTCTTATCTCTCTCTCTCTCTCTCTCTCTCACACACACACACACACATTTATGGACTTGCCTACAAAAAATGACAATGCATCTCCTCCCATAATTACATATGTTGAAGCAAACAACCTCACGCACACACAGACAAACCTGCATGAAATTAACTATGTTTACATGTATACACACACACACACACACACACACACACACACACACACACACACACACACACACACACACACACGTTATCTCGTAAGCCTATAAACACACAGCGCCACACAGCTAAAGCTGCCTCCCAAAAGCTGGGAATGCTGTGCAGATGCCGTAGCTACTTCACTCCTGAGCAGTTGCTTCAAGTATATAAGGGATTCATTCGTCCTAACTTGGAGTACTGCTCTCATATCTGGGGTGGCTCCTCTTCTGTCCAACTGTTGATAGGGTGGAATCAAAGGCATTTCGTCTTATTAAGTCTCCTGCTTTAGTTGACAATCTTTCTTCTCTTTATCTTCGCTGCAATGTTGCTTCACTCTCTCAGTTTTACAGATACTTTAACGGGCAATGTTCGGTGGAATTGGCATCCTGTGTACCGCCGGCAAGGCCGTGGGCTCGTAACATTCGTCTTGCCCGCGGTGCCCACCGTTTCTGTGTGGATGTCGGTCACACCACAATAACCCGTTTTAGTACATCCTTCTTTCCTCATACAGCCAAACTGTGGAATGCTCTGCCTTCTTCTGTGTTTCCATACTTATACAACTTGTCTCACTTTAAAAAGCTGGTTTTCCGGCATCTTTGTGGTGTACATTAAAATAACCTCTTTTTTTTTTCGCCCCCCAGGACCCGTTGTGGGTCGTTCGACCTGTGCCCGGGTGGGCTAATCCCCGTAAAAAACACAAAAAAAACCACACACACACACACACACAATGTCACACTTATAAACTCACACACACACACACACACACAAACACACGTATCTTACAAACAAACACAAAAAGGATGACATAACAACCAATTCAAATTTATTTTCTTACCTCATGGCTGCAAGTTGTGTGGGTCTCAGGTTGAAATTTTTTTAGCTATTAAATATTTGACTCGTTTAGGCCTTCCGAGGATGTTGCGACTTGTTAGGGTTCAAACACACACCTGGGTTGGCATTTGGATTTCAACAAGCGTGGGTTCAAAAAGAGTCACAAGCGTGGGTTCAAAAAGAGTCACAAGCGTGGGTTCAAAAAGAGTCACAAGCGTGGGTTCAAAAAGAGTCACAAGTGTGGGTTCAAACACTATATATTACTAGTATGGGTTCACGAGAGATGATTCAAACGTAGTGTTTCAGTCACTGTTCGAACTGAATCACACTCATTACTGAACACTTGACTGACTCTTTTGAATATCTGTAAGTCACCATTCGTTCACCAAGTACACAACGTAACTAGAATGCATTCCTCAGTCAGATATGAACAGCATTTTAGCGCAGCATGAAGTTCGAGGGAAACAGCATTTACAGCACCAATGCAGCACAGACGATGAGGAAACACCAGAATGAGACGAACAGCACTGTGAAGCAGAGAAGACAAGCCAATTATCTAGAGAACTTCACACACTCACACACACCCGGGAACTAAACTGGTCTTTCCAAATCGAGTTGTGGTGAACGAGTGAGTCAACTAGTCCAGGAGTGTGTGGACCTCACCTCACGAATGTCGGCGGGTGTCTGAGAAAGGTTGAGTACTTGTGGCTCAGTTAGATGGTGGGGAGGCCAGATGTTGGTAAGGGTGGACATCGTGGAAACTCATGAAGTCGTGCGTGAATGAGAGAGGGAGGGATGAGGGAAGGAGGTAGAAGTGGCTGGTAGTGGATCTCACGTATCTCTCTCTCTCGTTTTTCTTCTCTAGTTCAATTATTCTCCCTCTTCTTCCTTTTTATCTTAGTTTTGTCTTTACTTTTTCCCTATTTATTTCTCCTTGTTTCCTGCTCCTCTTTCTTTTCTTCAATTCCTTAATTTTTTTTATTTCCTCTTCTTTATTTTTCCTGCCTTCTTCTTATTCCATTTCTGCTCTCCTCCAACACCCACAGTTTTCCCTTCACTTTTCTTCTCGTTGTCTGATCTCTCCTCCTCCTCCTCCTCCTCGTTCTGGATATACCTCGACCTCCCCTAACTTCTCTATATGACACATCGCCACTGGATAAAACCCAATAGATAATTCGCCAGATAATCATTCGCCGACAGATAATACCCTCCTGAATACTTCGCCAAAGCAACTATTCGCCCAAAAGACAACAACTCGCCCTTCCTAGATCATATTAATCGAATATTTCAACAGAATTCTAAACATTTTTACAGATTAATAGCAAAACCTCATCATAGAGAGAGAGAGTGTTAGGAGAACTTACTTCTTGCTTTAGTCAGTCTCTCTCTCTCTCTCTCTCTCTCTCTCTCTCTCTCTCTCTCTCTCTCTAGGTTAAATGAACAGTAACAATTATACATCGTAATGGTGTATAATAATCGTATTAAATAATGAGAGTTATTATGGCTTTCAAAATAACAATGGAGGTCTATTATTTCTTCATATTTATAATTATAGACTTGGCGCTGACTTACTGCAGAATATAAGAAACCCAAAAATATATAGACTTATTTAAATATATAGATGTGATGAATATATAGACATGCTGAAATATATAGAAACACAGAGAATGAAAAAGAAATCGCCATTACGGTAATTCGCCATTGGATGTACCGTCAACTGGATAATTCGCCACCATTGTAACACTATATCGTTGCTATATTTATCAATTCTTTACTTTCACCTACACGCCCACAAACCCACACCACGCCCACAAACACTCACCAGGCTAAACACACGCACTAGGCTCACAAACACTCATGACGCCCACAACCCCACACCACGCACACAAACACTCACCCCACACACTTACAACACACACTCACACCCACAACCTCCCACCACCTACAAACCCACCCCCAACCCTACAAACCCAAACCCCTCCCACACACACCACAACTTACATCACAAACCCACACTCCACCTACAAACCCACGCATCCTCAAACCCACACCCCACCTACAAACCCCACACCCAACCTACAAACCCACGCCTCTAAACCCACACCCCATCCACAAACCCACACCCACCTACAAACCCACCACCCAACCTACAAACCCCACGCCTCACCTACAAACCCACACACCCCACCGACAAACCCACGCCTCACAAACCCACACCCCATCCACAAACCCACACCCCATCTACAAACCCACCCACCTACAAACCCACGCTCACAAACCCACACCTAATCCACAAACCCACACCCCACCTACAACCCACCCACCAAACAAACCCACCCTCACACCCCATCCACAAACCCACCCCACCTACAAACCCACACCCCACCTACAACCACCTCCACCCACAAACCCACGCCTCACAAACCCACACCTACCCACCCACAACACCCCACCCCACCCCCCACCCCACACAAACCCCACGCCTCACAAACCCACAACCCACACCCACCACAAGCCCACCCCACCTACAAACCCCACACCCACCTACAAGCCCACACCCCACCTACAAACCCCACGCCTCACAAACCCACACCCTACCCACAAACCAACACCCAACACCCCACCTACAAACCCACGCCTCACAAACCCACACCTCATCCACAAACCTACACCCCACCTGCAAACCCACGCCTCACCTACAAACCCACACCCCACCTACAAACCCACGCCTCACAAACCCACACCCCACCCACATATCCACACCCCCCACAAACCCACAGCACTAGAGCCAGATTTTACTTTGAAGCAATACGTGTCTCTTGCTGCACCCTATAATGATAGGTTCACTAGGACCGGTGTAGTACCTCCTGGCTAACCCGTACGTACGCCTTATCCCCTTTCTACTTATTATGTATCTGAAGGTTATGTTACAGCGTTGAGGAGGAATAATGATTAAATAGGGGTTGTAGTGTTGATTATGGTATGGGGAATTGTTGTAATGATAACTGTGTTAGTTACTGTGTAATAATAAAGTTAACAACAATAATAATAATAATAATAATAACAATAATAATAATAATAATAATAATAATAATAATAATAATAATAATAATAATAATAATAATGTGTTAATTTAATATTATTGTTCATATTATTATTATTATTATTCTTGTTGTTGTTGTTGTTGTTGTTGTTGTTGTTGTTGTTGTTGTATTCAAGAGCCTCACCGTCCAGACTCTTTAAGTACACTTCACTAGTTATTAAATTCATAAAAAAATGCAAGATAAATTAATCCAACCTCGACATATCTTCACACAAGAGGTGATAATACCTACTAGTAGAGCAGTGAGGGGCAGCACACACGAGCACCGCCTCTTATGTGATAACTAGCCACTCAGATCTCATGGCTGACGATAACCCCCCCCCTCCCCTCACCCCCAGTCTGATTAGCCAATGAGGTGAGAGGTACAGATCGCCCGGTAACTCAGAGGGATTAGATTACAAACAGCACAGGTGTATCCATTACTCGTTGTTAATTAAGTATTCCGGACAGGTGAGGTGAGTGGAGATGGTGTTGTGGTGAGTGGTGTTGTGTGTCATGAGGGAACTGTTTCTTACTCCCTCTCACTCCCTTTTGTTACGCGCGCGCGAGCACACGCACACACACACTCCTACTACTACTACTACTTTGCTGTCACTCGGAATCGAGTATGACGATCATCCAGCTATAATACAATGATATGAGTTATTAGGGATGTCACCTAGGTTAGTGAGTTCTGAGGTGACTAAAGGGACAAATACGGGACCGGCAGCGTCGTTCACAGTTGTTGCATATGTGGAGGGCTCCATCTACTGCGGGAGGGGCGGTGGTAGCGTCTTTCCGGCGTTGGCGCTTGTCTGCTTCGGTTTGCAGTCGGGCTAACTCGAAAGCATTGATACTGTCTCGTGCGGTGCTCCTCCAAGCGTTACGATGTGGAATAATCGACTCCCAGGTGAGGGGGTCGATTTGGCACTTTTTCAAGTTTGTCTTAAGACTATCCTTATACCTTTTCATTTGCCCGCCGGCGTTGCGTTTATTATTCGTTAGGTGACTGTAAAGTAACTGCTTTGGCAATCTACTGTCGTCCATGTGGGTAACATGGCCAGTCCAACGTAGTTGTTCATGGACAATGGTAGCCTCGATGCTCCTACAGTTAGTGTCAGCATGAATACTGGTATTTGTCCTCTTGTTTTCCCAGCGAATTCGGAGGATGGAACGTAGACTACGTTGGTGAAAGTTTTCGATTGCCTTGAGGCGCCTCCTGTATGTGACCCATGTCTGACTGTCATATAGCAGGGTGGGGAGGACCACTGTTCGATATACGTGCAGCTTTGTAGATAATTTCAGCTCCCTACAGCTGAAGACACGATTTCGGAGTCTGCCAAAGGCTTGAGATGCACATCTAATCCGATGCTGAATCTCTTCATCGATGTCCGCGGTGGTGGACAGGTGGGAGCCAAGATACCGAAAGTGGGCAACATTAGAGAGGGTAGTACTGTTAAGCTGGATGGATGATGGAGGTGTGGCTAAGCCAGGGGCAAGCTGAAAGAGAATCTGAGTCTTACATACAATCACCTGAAGGCCGAAGTGTGCATACGCGTCTGCTTAGGTGTTCATGATCTCCTGTAGTTCGTGTTCAGTATAAGCAACAAGGGTGAGGTCGTCTGCATACTTAAGTTCAGTAATGGAAGCTGCCGACACCTTTGCTCTTGCTTGGAGTCGTCTTATGATGAAAAGACCCTCTTTCACCAGGTACTCGATGTTCACCCCGCTGGCTAAATTGGCAATGGCACGAGTAAGGAAAAGAGAGTTGGTGACAGTACACACCCTTGTTTAACCCCTGTTTGGATGGGAAAGAACTCTGACTGGGTGGAGTTGCCTCACAATGGCGATGAATTTTGGTGGGCAGCCAAAACGGCTGAGGGTCCACCGAGTCGCAGGCCTTGGTTAGGTTGATGAAAGCCATGTACAGGTCACGACGCTGTTCTCTGTACTTTTCCTGTATCTGGCGGGCAGCAAAGATCATGTCGAGGTAGGGAACGAACTTGCAAACAGCGATCACAAAGAAATTTGATTCCAGTTAAATTTTCAGGGCAGACGTAAGGAAAATTCCACTAAAGTACCAGATTTCAGAAGGGCAAACTATGACAGTTTAAAGAGGCAGCTGAGAGAGGGGGTGTCGCGCTTGGCCGTGAACCTAACAGATGACACCGACCTGATAACGACATCTGAGACTGTCGAGTTCCATGTCAATTTAAATAATGAGTTACTTAATGCACAGAGGCAGAACATACCATACAAAAAACTCAGATCAGACAACAATGACCCTAAATGGATAAATAATTATTTAAAGAACATCATTGGCCAAAGGAAGGCTATAGGTAGAAGGATAAAGCGTGGTGAAATTTACCTCCAGGATTATTATAAGATATTGGCGAGTAGGGTTAAAACCGAGATAAGGAAAGCCAAGAGGAATAATGAGGTAAGGATAGCAAGGGAGGCGAAAACAAACCCCAAAGGATTCTACCAAATGTATCAAACTAAAACACGAGAAAAGATTGGACCAATACGGTCAGATACTGGCGAGCTCACTGATAACGACGGAGAAATGAGCAATAATTTGAATAAATATTTTTCAACAGTTTTCACCACCGAAAATTTAAACATGATACCGGAGGCACCGACTCTATTCAGAGATAGTGAAGAAAACAAATTAAGCGAGATAGTAGTGACTAGTAACGATGTTAGTAAGCAAATAGACAAACTAAAGCCTAATAAGTCACCTGGTCCCGATGAGATATTTGCCAGAGTATTAAAGGAATGTAAGGAAGAGCTTAGTATGCCCTTAGCAGTTGTTTAACATGTCCTTAAAAACAGGTGTAGTACCAGAATCCTGGAGGATAGCGATTGTAATACCGATTTTCAAGAAGGGGAATAGATCACTATCCTCTAACTACCGCCCAATCAGTCTAACATCAATAGTAGGCAAATTACTGGAAGCAATCATTTCAAACTCTATTCGAAATCACCTGGAGAAGCACCGATTGATCAATGATTCCCAGCATGGCTTCACAAGCGGACGTTCTTGTCTAACTAATCTATTAACATTCTTTTCATCAGTTTTCGAATCGGTGGACGAGGGGCACAATTATGATGTGGTATATCTCGACTTTAGCAAAGCCTTCGACAGAGTCCCCCACGAAAGACTAATTAGAAAGGTAGAAGCTCATGGCATCAAAGGTAACATCCTTAAATGGATTAGGGCGTGGTTACAGGACAGGAAACAGCGAGTGAGCATTAACGGCACTAAGTCCCATTGGAGCAACGTCACAAGTGGAGTTCTCCAAGGCTCAGTACTTGGACCATTATTATTTATTATATACATAAACGACATAGACATCGGCATAGACAGCAAAATAAGTAAATTTGCTGATGACACCAAAATAGGACGTGTAATTAAATCTGACGAGGACTCCGCAAAACTACAGGAAGATCTAAACAAATTTTTCGAATGGTCTGAAAAATGGCAGATGAAATTCAACGTGGACAAATGTAAAGTACTCAGTATAGGAGATGTAAACAGGGAAACCAGATACCAGATGAACAACGATGCCATAGAGAAATCCGACTGCGAGAGAGATTTAGGAGTAATGATAAGTAGGAACCTTAAGCCAAGTAAACAATGTGTTTTTGCTCATAACAAGGCTAATAAAGTACTTGGGTTCATACAAAGGAGTGTTAGTTACAAGACTAGCGAGGTCATCCTAAAACTGTATCTTGCTCTTGTGAGACCACACCTGGATTACGCAGTTCAGTTCTGGTCACCGTATTACAGAATGGATATAGAATCATTGGAAAGACTTCAGAGGAGAATGACAAGACTAATCCCGGGCATTAGGAACCTTGAGTATAGAGACAGGTTAAAGCACCTTAATTTGCACTCCCTCGAGAGACGTAGAGCGAGGGGCGACCTGATAGAGGTGTATAAGTGGAAGTCAGGGCTAAACAAAGGGGACATTACAAAGGTACTCAAACTATCCAACCAGGAGCGAACTCGTAACAATGGTTTTAAATTAGACAAATTTAGATTTAGGCGTGAAATAGGTAAACACTGGTTTGGAAACAGAGTTGTGGATGAATGGAACAAGTTGCCAAATACCATCATTAACTCGAATACGCTGAATAGCTTCAAACACAGGTTGGATGCTTATATGAGCAATAGGGGTTGGGTGTAAACGGGACTGCCCAGTATGGGCCAATAGGCCCGCTGCAGTTTCCTCCATTCTTATGTTCTTATGTTCTTATGAGTCTATGAGTATTTATAATGTATGTCAAGGAAGCTGTTTGTTATGGGTGATCAGTGGTTTATTTTGGCACTGTAGGTAAGACACAAGACTCCTTAATAGATAACAGTAAAATTATTATTCTTTACTCATCTTATTTCTTTATCTTCATTTATTGTCTTGGGTCTTTATCAACCTGTTTTTAGTCTTCTTTATGCATTGTCTCTATTCCCTGTCTAATTGTTATCGAGGGTTAGTTAGTGTAAGTGGTATTGTATATTGACAGATCAACACATCAAAACCCATCAGTAAACAGTGTCATCACCATGGGAATGTAGCGGTGGCGCGGCGAAACTCAGAATGTAAACACAACATCACATTCACAAACGGACAAATTTATCATTCGTGACTGAATTAACGAATATTAACGAAAACAATTGGACTTCAACGACTCGTAGGGGGTAACGTGAAGAGTAATTGCTTATTTTTTGTGACGGTGACGCAGAAATAAGTAATGTAACGGGCGTTAAGAGCATTCCATTATCGGTCTCTCTCCTTGGACGAGTGAAAGGAAGTGAACCTCACCCAATAGCGGCCCAGGTTACAACACAACTCATCAACAACCAGTGGCAATTGAAGGTCGCTCCCATTATCGAGAGAGAGAGAGAGAGAGAGAGAGAGAGAGAGAGAGAGATTAAATACAAAACATATATCAAGAAACAGGAGAAAGACAGACAGACAGACAAAAAGAAACAGACCAACAGACAGAACTAGTACAGAGAGAAGCCAAAATCAAACAGAGGAAATAGACGCACAAAAAAAAAATGATTATCCATCATCGGCAACATTAAGTAAACAAAGGAACGCGACAAGTAATAAACAAGTAATAGAAGGATAACGATAAACAAAAGAGAGAAATGAGGAGAAATAAAGGTAATAAATTGAAGAGAAAGATAATTAAGATGATGAATAAGCTAATAAGAAGGTAAAGGTAGATTAGATAAGAATGTTGATAAGATAAAAGATAATAATGTAAGGTGACAGATAACGGGGAGGAGTGTCACCTGATATTGGACCTGTGTGGTGTGGGTGTGTGTGTGTGTGTGTGTGTGGTAAAGTAGGTGACCTTACTTAACTGTAGTAGGGTTGTGTGGTTAATGTGTGGTAGGTGACTGTCCTTAACTGTGGTAGGTACTCGGTATAGCGTGGTAGGAATCCTTTCATCACAGACTCATCAAGCTATCAGTTCCATTCCCCCCTCATGGACTACGATCAACACGTAACACCAGTTGATTTTATTTAACCTCGATCGCTGCAGTAGTAGGTGGAATATAAACCCTATGCTAATGAACCTTACCTGTATGAACTATAGAGAACTAATTAGTCTTTCTACTCAGGTGAGGTGAACGATGAAAGAGTCTTAATTGATATTTACTTTATTGAAGTTATAAACTGATCTGTTGTCCCCTTATTACGATGATTTAACCCCTGGATTACGATAACTTAACCCCTTAATTACGATGATTGAATCTGATTACAATGTCATGTATTCAAAGGGTTAAAATATCGTACTCAAAGGTTCAAGTTATTGTACTCAGGGGAGAAAGTCATCGTACTCAAGGTAATAATATGGTACACGTTTTAAATCGGACTCACCATTTCATAATCAGAAACATCATCTAAATACTTTTCCTTTTCGCTTACGTATCAAGTCAACCTTCCTTCCAAAACACACAGCAACACCCACCCCTTCCCCCTCACCCCATTCCAGCTAGGGCGACACACCAAGCCCAAGTGACGAAATGATGGAGATAATTCAGAAAGTAGTCGAGATCCTGTACTTATTGTTTGATTGTTAAGTACATTCACCATCGTCTACTAATGCACCTTGTGGGTATAGTGTATAGGGCGACACATTATCATTCTTTGTTTACATGATGGTTATGGGTTCTCGTACGCCTCTCTCTCTCTCTCTCTCTCTCTCTCTCTCTCTAATGATTTAATAATGTACAGGTAGATTAGCTTCCCACTTCCACACCTGACAGCAGAGTTCAGGTGGCGCTCAAAGGGTGAGTTTCAGTGACGTAATCTCCTCCTCCCTCCTCCTCCTCCTTGGTCAACTTTCACTCTCTGTGCTGTACCTAAATTTGCCATCTCACCGCAAGCATTCAATTGTTTCCGTTTTATATTGTTTTTATTTAGGGTAAAGAAACTCACATACCTACCATAATACATTGTTCATTCACTATAGGAGATATTGTATTTAGGAATCCTACAGTAGAAATACAACTGATTAATATAAATACAATATACCTGATCACCTTATACAACAGCTCTCAAACAATAACAAAAGCCTTCGTACGTTAACCTGTAAAGTCAATGTACTCAAGGGTGGTCGTAATTACTACCATTTAAATACTGACTACCGCCTCTACTGACATGATTAATGGATGTATTCTGCAACCGAGGTGTTATTTTCTTTCCATCGAGGGTTAATATCACCTTTATAATCCGTGTTTATATAGAAATACCTTTTTTCCGCCATTAACTTGAAAAAAAGTATCGTACGCGCGGGATTATTTTTTTTCCTGTGCGTAAAACCATTGATCATTTTCTTTATATATTCTTCGTTGTCATCAATAAGGTGAGAGAAATAGAGAAAGAGAAGAGGGGTAAATGGCAGAAATGAGAGAAACAGAAGAAGAGGAGAAGAGAGATAGAACAGAGAGGAGAAGAGAGACAGGACTAAGATAAAGAGAAGAAGAAGAAGAGAGAGAGAGAAAGAGAGAGAGACAGTAGGGGTTACAGTCACCGTCCATCGAATTCACCTTGAAGAGACTTTTGTGGATGGGCTTTGTCTCTTTTACTTTCTAGACCCTGATGATGGAGGGCACGCTGGCAGTCAACCCCTTTCTCCCTCCCTCCCTCTCTCTCCCTCCCTTTTTTCCTCCCTCCTTGCCTCCTCTACTCCCTCTCTCTTTTCCTGCCTCTGTATGTCTGCCTCCCTCTCTCTTTCTCTCTCTTTCTTTCCCTCCTCTCTCCCTCCCTCCGTACCTCCCTCTCTGTCGCATTTTTGTTTCCTCCTGACCTCCCACATATCCAATCTCCCTTCCCTTCTCATTCCCTCCCTACCCCATTCCTTCTTCCCTCCCTCCCACCCTCTCTCTCTCTCCTCACCCCCTCCCCTTCACTCCCCCCCCAGCTCGCGATCAACCCACTACGCTCCATGATACAACACTCTCACCTTCACCTCAGACACACACACACACACCCACCAGCCACCACCACGGTGACCCGCCCCGCCTCTCTGCTAACCTTATTAGTTCTCTGTGTAATAATCACCAACATTTGTGTAGTGTATTGGTGAATTTCTCAAACAAACTCCCTACTAAGTTGTCATCAAAGTAAGTACCCTTGGATACCTGGAACTAACTCCTACTAAGGTCTAATGGGAGCAACTTAACGAGTGTTGTGAGTGTTGTGTGATCTGCGCCACGGGGAAACAAGAAATTCTTTTCTGATGCCCATTGTGATTTTAATATACTACTAATCATAGTAAAAAGGATTATTATACATAGTGAAGGTATTAAATCAGATAATATATTGTACGATTGATCAGTAAATCCTGTAAAGTTACTGAGAATTTTGTTTTAATTGACGTGTGATAAGAATTGTGGTGTTTGAGTTAGCACCAATATGTGATTTAAAACTGCTTAGAAATTATATGGACATTAATATTTCATGAGTCAAGTGTTTGAACCCATACTGGTGACATATTGTGTTTGAACCCATACTGGTGACATATTGTGTTTGAACCCATACTGGTGACATATTGTGTTTGAACCCATACTGGTGACATATTGTGTTTGAACCCTTACTGGTGACATATTGTGTTTGAACCCTTACTGGTGACATATTGTGTTTGAACCCATACTGGTGACATATTGTGTTTGAACCCATACTATTGAGAATGTTTGAACCAACACAAATTATACAGTATTCGAACCCACACCAGTGAATAACAGAACCCACAACAGTGAATAACAGAACCCACACCAGTGAATAATAGAACCCACACCGGTGAATAACACAACCCACACCGGTGAATAACACAACCCACACCGGTGAATAACACAACCCACACCGGTGAATAACACAACCCACACCGGTGAATAACACAACCCACACAGGTGAATAACAGAACCCACACCAGTGAATAACAGAACCCACACCAGTGAATAACAGAACCCACACCGGTGAATAACAGAACCCACATCGTGTGACTGCAACAACAATCATCAAGTCACTTTCTGTCGTCAGCCCACACAGCACCGCAGGACAAGGTGTGCTGTCTAAGTTAAAAGTACACAAGTGGACAGGTATGTTATTAGTGGCGTTTGTTGACTGGATATTTAGCGAGGTGTGAGGTGTGTGTGTGTGTGTGTGTGTGTGTGTGTGTGTGTGTGTGTGTGTGTGTGTGTGTGTGTGTGTATTCTTGTATATCCTCAAATACGTACTGTACATGTATAAGTTCAGTAACCCCCACCAGCCCTCGTCCAGCTGACCTCTTAAGCAAAGGCCACATACACACACACACACACGAGCAAGTCAGTAATCTCTCCCTCCTGGACGCATTAAAACCAAAACATAAAACAGCTGATCCATGCAAACAACTTTCCTTGAAATTACTGAGGCGGGAACAATCTGCTGACTATTGTAAACACACAAACACACACACACACACACACACACGCATCATAGATATGTGGTTATAATAAACACTGCCACTTAAACGTGTTTTTCCCTACTTGTGTGACCAAAACTAAACTCGCTATAATGAACGCCGAGAACACCGGGGGGGGTGGGGGGGTGGGGGGGTGTACGATCGTTGACCAAGAGTAAAGGTTTTGTTTATTCCTTTGAACAAAAACAACAACAACAACAACAACAACAAACAGTGTCCTCACCTACACCAACCATCACACACACACACACACACACACACACACACACACTCTTATACCATCCACCTTTCCTGACCCAACCAATGGATGTATAATCCACATGAGGGATTTTACTACTCTCTGACACATACCTGATCACATCTTTTTATTTCATATCATTAATGACTTTAGTGTACACCTTGACATAGCGACAATCATGTACGTTATTATACAGACATGACCCTATGTATGTGATAACGTGTAAATGACCTTTGACCTTAAATTGTGACCTTTACAAATAGACAGACAGACAGACAGATATATATTTATGTATTTTTACCCTATGGATGTGTATATTGACGTATATTTTGTCCTATCTTTTCCGTTTATATTTAATGTATTTTTTCCTCTCAGTATATGTATATTTATGTATATTTTCCCTATCGTATGTATTTGTATGTATATTTTCCTCTCACATGTGTATATTTACTTATGTTTTCCCCTAAGAAGTGTATATTTACGTATATTTTCCCCTGTGTGTATTTCCCACGCTGGTGACTGGAGCTGTAAGGTGAGGGAGTGAAAGTTGTTTGCGAAATGACGAGCAAGAGTGTGTTGACTAGGAGGAGGGAGAGGTTTACCCCCTTGAGGTAGAAAGTATGGAGGTTTATCCCCTTGGAGGTAGAAAGTGTGGAGGTTTATCCACTTGGAGGTAGAATGTGTGGAGGTTTACCCCCTTGGAGGTAGAAAGTGTGGAGGTTTACCCCTTGGAGGTAGAAAGTGTGGAGGTTTGTAACAGCAACATTTGTATTATATAAATATTTACCCAAATATATATTACCCATATATTCACCAAGTCATTCACCCATGAGTATGAATCAATTGGTGAGTTGACATTTCCTCTGGGGAGCAGGCGAGGTCAAGCTTGTCAGCGCAGTTCAACAACAACACCTGACGCATTTCCTTTAAGGCCCGCCTGACAACTCCCTCTCCCTGGTGTGAGAGAGAGACTATCATATCACCTGTTACCCAGTGAACATCTCACTTAAGTGCTCTGCTATACAAGTGCACTAAGACCTTTCCCTGAGCAGAGAAGGTACAATATACTCTCAACTGAACTCAGTACCTGTGAAACTATATTTTTCTACAATAAAGCAAAACCAACAAAGTGTTTACTTCAGCCCTGCCACTTATCAAATCATGAACTAATATATATATATATATATATATATATATATATATATATATATATATATATATATATATATATATATATATATATATATATACATATATATATTGTGACCAACACACTAATCCATCCCACTGCTGCCACCAATGTGTTGGTCACAATAATATATATATATATATATATATATATATATATATATATATATATATATATATATATATATAATATATTAGTTCTTGAATTGATACCCAAAATTTTTGGAAGAGGTCATGTATAGGACTATTTATTACTTCACTCACTACGTTTCCCACTCATAGAGTAATGCAAAAAATATATTTATAATGCATTATGGAAATGAAACATATATTATTAGTTGAATGTTTTATCTACTTTCACCTTTTGCGCATTGTGCACGTAATATATATCCTATATGACTACATATGAAGACTTCTTGAAGTTCACTTGTGTTTGTACTTTATAAAATAATGATTGTTTGTGATCTACCTGGGTGGAAGTGCGGAACCTCGCCTTGGCTATGACGTCAGGAGTCAATGACGTCCTTCTCAGGGATGGATGACGTCACGTCTTACTGCAATCCACCTGGGTCTTGCGGCGGTCAGCCTGGGGTGATCTGGTCTTGCGACGGTCAGCCTAGGCTGATCTGGGGCTGACCTCTGGGTTGGAGCGATTAGCCTGGGGCTGATCTGGGGCTGAACTTGGTTGGTGCGATCAGCCTGGGGGCTAATCTAAGTGTCCTCTGTTGTACACCGACGAGTCTTGATTGTTTAATTGTCTGGAACCACTTTGACAACCTTGCTAAACTCCGTGAAGTAGTGTTAGCTTGTAGTAATCTCAGCCCACACTCGGTAGGATCGGCTGCCCGGGTCGGGGGTAACTTCAGTAGTATGTGTCACTGAGGGTTTGACTGCTAATGCAACAGCAACCTGACACGTATCCTTTAAGGCCCGCCTGACAACTCTCTCCGTGGTGTGAGAGAGACTATCATACCTGTTACCCAGTGAAAACCCTTTTAAGTGTTCTCCTACAAGTGCACTAAGACATTTCCTGAGCAGAGAAGGTACAATATACTCAACTGAACTCAGTTCCTGTGAAACTATATTTTCTACAATAAAGCAAACCAACAAAGTGTTTACTTCAGCCCTGCCACTTATCAAATCACGAAATAATATATATATATATATATATATACAATCAACACCTCCGCCAGGGATTCGGAACCCACGGCCCATTAGCCCATGATGTGACCGGGAACGCTAACCGCTGGACCACCAGGATACTAAAAGCAGTCCTAGACTTTGATATAATTCACAAAGCCTGTTCAACGAGCTTATGGCGCGAAACCTTGATTGTATGTAGAAGTCCGTGCTATTGGGCTAATGAAATATATGGATCCTCGTGTTTCGGAAGCCGATTTGGTAAAACGTTACCTGACCACCTACGTGATACGGGTAGTCCCCATTAGAGGCTCACGGCGCCATAAGCTCGTTGAACAGGCTTTGTGTGAAATATAACAAAGTCTAGGACTGCTTTTAGTATCCTGGTGGTAGAGTGGTTAGCGTTCCCCGGTCACAGTCATGGGCTAGTGGGCCGTGGGTTCTGAATCCTAGCGGTTGAGGTGTTGATTGTATGTAGAAGTCCGCGTGCTATATATATATATATATATATATATATATATATATATTGTGTAGCCAACGCAGGTTTACCCCCTTGGAGATAGAAAGGTGGAAGTTTGTCCCTTGGAGGTAGAAATGGGAGGTTTATTCCTTGAGGTAGAAAGTGTGGAGGTTTACCCTTGAGGTAGAAAGTGTGGAGGTTTACCCCTTGGAGGTAGAAAGTGTGGAGGTTTATTCCCTTGGAGGTAGAAAGTGTGGAGGTTTATTCCCTTGGAGGTAGAAAGTGTGGAGGTTTACCCTTGGAGGTAGAAAGTGTGGAGGTTTACCCCTTTGAGGTAGAAAGTGTGGAGGTTTATTCCCTTGGAGGTAGAAAATGTTGAGGTTTATTCCTTGGATTTAGAAAGTGTGGAGGTTTACCCTTGAGGTAGAAAGTGTGGAGGTTTACCCTGGAGGTAGAAAGTGTGGAGGTTTATCCTTGATTTAGAAAGTGGAGGTTTACCCCTTGGAGGTGAAAGTGGAGGTTTACCCCTTGGAGGTGTGGTAGGTTTACCCTTGGAGGTAGAAAGTGTGGAGGTTTACCCCTGTTGAAAGTGTGGAGGTTTACCCCTTGGAGGTAGAAAGGGAGGTTTATCCCCTGAGGTAGAAAGTGATGTTTGTCTGCTTGAGAAAATGGATGTTTATTCCCTTGAGGTGGAAAGTGTGGAGGTTTATTCCTTGAAGGTAGAAAGTGTGGAAGTTTATTCCTATGTAGAAAGTGTGGAAGTTTATTCCGTTGGAGGTGAAAGTGGGAGGTATATTCCTTGGTGGTAGAAAGTGTGGAGGTTTACCCCTTGGAGGTAGAAAGTGTGGAGGTTTACCCCTTGGAGGTAGTGGAGGTTTACCCTAAGGTAGAATGGGAGGTTACCCTTGGAGGTAGAAAGTGTGAGGTTTATCCCTTGAGGTAGAAAGTGTGGATGTTTGTCCGTTTGGAGGTAGAAAATGTGGATGTTTATTCCTTGAGGTGGAAAGTGTGGAGGTTTATTCCTTGAAGGTAGAAAGTGGAAGTTTATTCTGAAGGTAGAAAGTGTAGTTTATTCCGTTGGAGGTAGAAAGTGTGGAGTTTATTCCCTGAAGGTAGAAAGTGTGGAAGTTTATTCCTGTTGGAGGTAGAAAGGTGGAGGTATATTCCTTGGAGTTTATATAAGTCGAAAAAAGTGTGTGCACAGGAGAGACCTCATGCCTTAAGTGTGTGTGTGTGTGTGTGTGTGTGTGTGTGTGTGTGTCTTATACAAGTGATACTATACACACGCCTCTCTGTATCCAGTATGTATCCAGTATCTAATGCTGTTGACCTAAATACCCTGGGTGATGAGGAGGGAGGGTCAGGGTAGGTCAGGGTAGGTCAGGGTATAGGGTCAACCTGGTCACGAAGTTAACCATGCCCCCCCAAAAAACATCTTCCTTTAATGTCTAATTTTATCTGGTAAATGTGAGTTCCTTGTACGTGGTTTTAACATCGTAAAGGTGTCAAGAAAGATTACCTGCGTGTGTGTAAACTGACGGAAAATAAAAATATCCTTTGCTTGTCGTGAGGATAGGTAAAACACACACACACACTCCTACACACCACACACACACACACACACTCCCACACACCACACACACACACGCAGAGGTAATAACACTTAAGAATAAAAAAGTAATACTTCACAAGTTACATCATCAACACTTCAGTAAGACATAACAACAAGCTTCACCCTCAAGCTTCACCCTCAGGCTTCATCGTCAGGCAACTTTCACACATCCAGGAAACGGAAGTGCCTCGATTTCACGCCAAGAACTGTACCAGAAAACTTCACCTTGTTTCACGAAGCTTATTTCACCTGATGATTAAGCACCCTAACTCTACCTGCTGAGATTAAGGTAGGGTAGGGTAAGGTAGGGCTGCATTAAGGTGTGTAATCATCAAGTGAAACAAACTGCGGTGCCTAAACTTCATAAGATCCAATTTTCGTGCAAACTCTTATGATTAAAATCTAATTTGACTCAACGAACTTGACCTTTACTACCCTGACCTGACCTTAAGAGCGCTATGTATATGTTAGTAACGCTAGTTTTCATGCGGTTAAAGCTGTTTAATTTATGTCAAATCAAGTTGGTCAATATTCCCAAAATACAGGAAGGTAACTCACTTGTTGGTATGTCCTTGACCACGCACGAGAGGAGGACCGTCCGCTCCCTCACAAGCATAGTATGACACTGATACTCAAAAGTCTATGAACCCTTATATATATATACAGCGGGAACAGGATGACCTTAACAAGCACACGACAACAGTTCAACATTTTTGCCTCAAGAACAACCACTTAGGTAGTTAAATGACCTATAAATTACCAAGGATAAAAGTTTCTATTTTGTTCAAATTTATTATTATTATTGTTATTATTATTATTGTTACCATAGTATATATTTTTTTCATTCAATATAAACACGATTTCTTTCTTTTTCTTTCACTAGAGTTTCTTTCACCGGCGAGAATGAAGGACTGGACCACCTCTCTCTTGGTGTTTGTGGTGGTGTTGGCAGTGTCTGAGAGTCGCTACAGTAATACGACTACTCCTGTTAATTTCACTTCCTCCAGCACCACAAGCTCCACGGAACACCCTCACACACATCTCAATACGGTAAAATAAATAAATAAATAAATAAATAAATAAATAAATAATAAAAAGGCTCTATAGTATTCAAATGACATCTTGATCTGTTCATTGCTTGTCCAGTCTCCTCTCGAAAGTCAAGTAATAGCTCAATGGCTGGGACAGTAGATGTTATATACTCGCCAGTTTAAACCAAGCAGGGTATAGTATTGGTTGGGTCAATGGTCATTTTAAACCCAGGGTATAAACTTGTCTGGTCTAGGTTGGGTTGGGTTGGGACTTTGAGATAGATGATCTTAAATGCAACACAGTGACCTTGCCCTGATCTGCCCTGCCCTGCCCTGCCCTGCCCTGCCCTGCCCTGCCTGGCCTGACCTCTTGTGTACCGTACAGGCGCAGTTGATCCAGGCTCGAGGGTATCCAGCCGAGGTACATCGCGTCATCACCCCAGACGGTTACATCCTAGAGATGCACCGCATACCGCATGGCCGCACCGCCCACCATGCCCACACCGTACGCCCAAACCACCCACCACGCCCACACCAGCCCGCACGCCCACGAGGAAGACAAGCAGGCAGGAGGTAGGTAGGTTGATGAGCTTATTATCAGTACTTATTATACACCTCAGGTGGACATGAACCACCAGCCCTACAGTGTTTATGATCGAAAGGATCGAACCTCCATACACGATCGTCACTTGTTTCCACCCCACCATAGTCAGTGAGTTTTCTGTTCATATTTCAGTTTAGTTCTTGTTTCTTCCCACTACTTCCTCCTCCTTTCCCCTACAGCACTGACGGCACGGGTAGCACCACCAGCAGCAGCACCAGCAGGAACAGCACCAGGGACAGCAAGGGTCGTCGAGTTGTGTTCATCCTTCATGGGTTCCTCTCCTCCAGCGCCGATTTTGTCATGAATGATCCTGACGAGGCTCTAGGTGGGTCCAGTACCTGCCTTATGTTGATGATAACAACAACACACCAATAAAAACAACAACAACAACAACAATAATGATAATGATAATGAAGAACATAAGAACATAAGAAAATAAGGATTCTGCAATGGACCGGTTGGCCTGTGCAATGTGCATGGCAGCTCCTGTCGAGAGTAACAACCACACTCTATCATCCATGAATCTATCTAGCCTCCTTTTGAAACTTTCCAGCGTTCCAGCACTTACTACAAAGTTGCTAAGCTTGTTCCACTCGCCCACCACTTCATTTGTGAACCAGTTCCTTCCTATCTCCCTACTAAACCTAAACTTATCCAACTTAAATCCGTTGCTCCGAGTCCTATCCTGCTCGGATATTATAAGAACTTTATCTATATCGCCTTTATTGATTCCTTTCACCCACTTAAATACTTCTATCATATCTCCCCGACCTGTCGTCTTTCTAGGGAATGCAAGTTTAGTTTCTTTAACCTATCCTGATATGGAAGGTTTCTAAGTCCCGGAAATCATTTTCGTCATTCTTCGCTGCACCGACTCTAGTGAATTGATATCCATTTTATAATAAGGGCACCAGAACTGAAACGCAAAATCGAGGTGCGGCCTGACTAACGCAAGATATAGTTGCAATATGACCTCTACACTCTTATTACTTACACTTCTAGATATAAAACCTAATACTCTGTTTGCCTTATTTCGAACATTAACGCACTGTTTTCTAGGTGTAAGTCCGGGCTTACAAGTACCCCTAAGTCTTTTTTACAAGTCGACTTCTCTAGGTTGTTCTTGTTACGGCTGTATACATTGACAGTATTTGTTCTTCCAATATTAAGAATGCTGCACTTGCTGGTGTTGAATTTCATTTGTTTTTCTGACCACTCCTGCAGTTTATGTATGTGTGTGTGTATGTGTGTGTGTGTGTGTGTGTTATCAGCACTGGACTGACACATCTCCTGACGGCAGGGTTCATGATGGCTGACGCTGGCTACGACGTGTGGCTGGGGAACAACAGAGGAAACTATTACGGTCGTCAGCACGTCACTCTCTCACCTGAGAAGCCTGAATTCTGGGATTACAGGTAAGTAGCTCCTTAATTACAGGTAGGTAGCCCTTAATTACAGGTAGGTAGCTCCCTATTTACAGGTAGGTAGCCCTTTAATTACAGGTAGGTAGCTCCTTAATTACAAGTTGGTAGCTCCTTAATTACAGGTAGGTTGATCCTTAATTACATGTAGGTAGCTCCTTAATTACAGGTAGGTAGCTCCTTAATTACAGGTAGGTTGCTCCTTAATTACAGGTAGGCAAACCCCTTAATTACAGGTAGGTAGCTCGCTAATTACAGGTGTGGTAGGTCCTTAATTACAGGTAGGTAGCCCAGTAGCCTTTTGTTCTGGGACTACAGATACACATGAAGACAAACGATGATACATACATACATACATACATACATACATACATACATACATACATACATACATACATACACAGGTAAACAAACCTAAAGGACCTTACAGTAATATCCAATTTGGCCATAACTTTAATATCATTTTATTAGTCTATTAAATCAAATAAATTATACTGGATTAAGCGTTTTCTTCCGTGTCTTTGTTTATCCTACAGTTGGAACGAGATGGCTCGCTATGACGTGCCAACGATGCTCAGTTACGTGCGGAAGAGTAGCGGCATGGAACAGGTCTACTATATAGGGCATTCCATGGGTACCTCACTGTTCTTCGCCATGATGCACTACCACCCTCACATCAACTCTTGGGTACGTCTGTTGAGGGGTTGTGGGAGGAGGGAGGGTTTTTGGAGGTGGGGGAAGGGCGAGGAGGGGATTTTGTAGGGGAGAAGGGAGGATGGGAGGATTTTTTTTGGGGGGAGGTCTGTTGGGTGAGAAGGGAGGGGGATTTTGAAGGTTAGGTTAGGTTTGGCTTAGGTTAGGTTAGGTTAGGTTAGCTTAGGTTAGGTAGGGTTAGGTTAAGTTAGGTTTAGGCTAGGTTTAGGGATATAAATTTATGCCCTTCTCTTCTCATCTATCAATTCTATCCTCTCCACCATTCCTCCACCCCCATCAATTCCTCTACTCCACCAATTCTTCACCACCATCAATTCTATCCTCTCCACCATTCCTCCATCAACTCCATCAATTCCTCTACTGCCGTCTTCAACTGTATGTGTGTGTGTGTTCGACAGGTGCGGGCGATGGCGGCGTTGGCACCAGCTGGCTACGTCTACCACAAGTACTCGATGGCACATGTTCTGGCACCATTCTTTGACGGCGTTGAGGTGAGAGAGAGAGAGAGAGAGAGAGAGAGAGAGAGAGAGAGGTGTGTGTGTACGCCCAAACATAACACCATCGTCGGCCTAGATTAGACAAGCGAGTAAGGCGCTGCGGTATCGTTACAGAGAGAACTTCGTAGACGCGGGATTATGGAGATCTTCCAGCTAACTAAAGACAACTCAAACAAGGCCTCCAAGATGTGTGGACCCAATGCCATCACCAGCTTCATGTGTATCCTTATGTATTTCATCAGCGGCGGACCCAATTCTAACTATGTAGATAAGGTGTGTTGACTTTTCTCCTCTGTTTAATAACTTCTCACTACTCAGTTAGATAAATAATCAGATTGATAGAAAATTCACATTGTTTCAGCATGTACATAGTAATTGAAGGTATATAAATGTGTTTCGTACAATACAATGTCTATGGACAGTCAGAGTAAAATTGAAATCAAGTCAATGTCACGAAAACACTCAAATAGATTAGTTACCCATAAAATATACTGCTCTTTGGTTATTAGAGAAAACGGAAATATGTACGGGTAAACTTAGCTATTTAATCTTATACATGCCTGGAGACGCATACTGTACAGGGTGGTATGTGTTGATTCTTTACAATGATTCACAAATAATCACTCACTGTCTCCCTGTGTGTTTATCGCCCCAGAGTACCTGCCAGTAATCTTCGCTCACACCCCGGCAGGCTCAGGTTTACAAGTCTTCACACACCTGCGACAAATGCACGCCTCACGTAAGTAATTTTTGTCACCCAGTTCATCGATTCACGTAGGTTCCTGCCTTTTAAAATTACCTCAAGTTCCATACACACTCGCACACACACACACACACACACACACACACACACACACACACACACACACACACACACACATTGAGTTTGTATTACTAACTACCATACCATTACACCAACCACTATTTCACCACTATGATAATTTCTATGTCACATCATCTCGCCAACCAATACTAAATCCACCAACTACGGCCACCAACCACACTATCACATCAACCAATATGTTACCACAACTGACAACGACAGCTACTACCAGCACCATGCCTTGTCAATTATATCAGATCATACTGTTATTCTAATTATTGATGTTTCCAAGTTAATCCACCAACACAATAACTCTCATCATCCACTATAACACCGATCTATCATCTCATCAACCTCGTCTTCACAGGCAAGTTTCAGGCCTTCGACTATGGCAGGGCCAAGAATGTGGTGAAATATGGAAGCACGAAGCCTCCCTCCTTCTCCTTCAGCAACGTCATCGCCCCCGTCGGCCTCTTCTGGTCTGAGAATGACTGGATCGTCGACCCTCGGGTGAGATATGACTTTTCCTTTTTACTTTTATCCTCTTCGCCACTGATAGGTTCGTTAGCCGCTTGGGCAGTAGGTCACGTTTCTGTTACACACTGTTGGTAAGTACTGGGCATGTACTGATCATGAAATTTCTGAACCTGCTCCAGTGTTGGTCAAGTCTGGTCTTGAAAGAGCTCACACTCAGTGCCACCATAACATTCTCTGGCACAGTGTTCCAAGTGTTTACAAATCTCACTCAGTTATCTGGACTTGTGACTTCTTCAGGCTGGAGCTGTGACCCCTAGCGGGGTGGGCGTCCGCCAGCTCTAGGTATGGATGTAAGGGGTGTGTGCGGGGGTGAGAAATAAAGATTCTTGTCTTTATTCCACTGACTGATAAATATTTGTAAGATTTTTTTTTTAATTTTAATAAATATTTCTTTTCTGTTACTATAACTAAAATAACTTTATTTAATTTTGTTATCTTATTTTATTTTCTTATTTACCTGTTATTTATTTTCTAAGTTATTTCTATATTTGTTTCTGTTTCTTTTATTGTGCTTATTTATTCCTTTCAATATTCTTTACTTCATTTACTATATTTCTTTCAATGTCATTATTTGTTTATTAATTTTCCTCTTAATTATTTCAGTATTTATCAGTGTTTATTGTTGGTGTATTTCCTCTTACTTCCTTTCTCAGCTGTGCTCAGTTATATTCTGTTCAATGGATTAACCTGGGAAAACCATATCATTCTGTAACATCACCTGTCAGTATAACTATTATGCTTACATGTAGACTGCCACCACCCAGCCTTTTATTTAGAATATAATTTTTATCATTAAAAGTCTTAGGTAGCGTGGTAGGCGACCTTAGTCACGTGAGTTAGTGTTTATTTCTTGAGAACCAATTGTTAGAAAGAAAGGAGCGGTGATACTCATATTATACTAAATCAATATTAATTAAAACTAAATGTGAATAGTATGACAATTTGAATCTTTATCTACAAAAACAAAGCTAACGTACAGTAGGTTCAATCACTGATTACTTTACTGCAACACTCAGACACGGACCACTAGGTCTTACTTTAAAGGTAACAAAATAGATCTCCAATTAACATGCAATACTTATACCTCCTTAAGGGTATTATTAAGATCATTGACAAAAAAAATGGGAACTTTACACACTACTTCTGTGGGTAATAATGTTTAGAGCAACCTGCTCTCACAGGAACATGTACCAACATCTCAGGTAGAAGTAAACATATAGGGTTTACTCCCGACCTATAACAAACTCTAATACTGGTATTAAAAAGTTTTATGGTTTCACTTCTAAACCCGGGACAATTATATTTCTGCTAATTATCCACAATGAAGTACATTCAAAGAATAATTCTTGACACCAGTCAAGATAGTGTACACCAGGCTTGATTCGCTGGTGTTTACTACAACAAACAAGTGAAGTGCGCTATTAGCGTTGGTCAGACTCCGGCGCACGGTGCTAGAGAGTTCATCCTCCCATAGTTAGCTCCCAGCGTGTCACTCCTCTGTTTTAATCTCGCTGAATTAAAGATATCCTGCCTTGGACACCTTGCTGGTAGGCAGCTACCATTCCCGATAGCTGAGGGTATCATCCACAACACACACCGTGTCTGAGATACGATGAGAAAGTATCAGAAAAGTCTAGAACCATCTACAAATCATCACATGCGTCTGGCAAGGAAGACGCATCACATCGGCATAGACGATGTCTAAGTTACGTTATGTTTTCACTTGGGACATAAGACTTTCAACTATGGTAAAACATGAACACTGATATTCAACAAAGTTCAGCTGAAATAAATTCACTTAATATGGCGGGCGTGAGGCACTATTTACATACCTGAGATACGATGAGAGCGTCAGAAAAGTGACTTTAATGATAACGATGATGATGGGATGGAGAGAAGAGAGCCATTTACTCAGGAAGGTGGAAGACGGTGTAGGAGGAAGGTAAAAGCTGGGAAATAAAGAGGGAGATTTGTTAGCAGGAGGGCTATCTACCTTGCGGGGTGACTTTTCTCCCGTGCAAGTAGTTACAGTATATACGAGGCAAATGGCAATTCAGGCACGTTGACGGTGCCACCTCACGCATTTACATTCTTTACTTTACTTTTATCCTCTTCGCCACTGATCGGCTTGTTAGCCGCTTGGCAGATCGGTCACGTCTCTGATTGCTTTTCTTTTTACTTTTATCCTCTTCACCACTGAACGACTCGTTAGCTGCTTGGGAGATCGGTCACGTCTGCGTTACGCACTGTTGGCAAGTACTGGCCTTGAACTGGCTCCTAAAGGTACCTGAACCTGCTCCAGTGTTGGTCAAGTCTGGTCTTGAAACAGCTCACACTCGGTGCCGTCACAACACTCTCTGGTAGATTGTTCCAAGAATTCACAACTCTCACTCCGAAAAAGTTTGCCCTCAAAGTTTTCTGGACTTGCGGCTTCTTCAATCTTGAGCTGTGACCCCTTGTGGGGCGAGCGTCCGCCAGCTCCAAGTAAGGACACTCAACTGAGTAGTGCCCCCTGAGATGCTTATTCACCTCAACTAGGTCCCCACTTGCCCGTCTGTAGTATAAGCTAGACAAGTTCAGGCGCTCCAATCTCTCAGGGTAGCTGAGGTGCCATAGTGCAGGCACCAGTCTGGTGGCCCTCCTTTGAACATTTTCTCAGGGACCAGACGGGGTAACAGTACTCCAGATGGGGAAGCACTTCACTCTTCAAGATCGTTATGAGGGACGGACCGTCTAGATATCTGAACGACCTTCTTATAAGACCCAATAATTTATTTGCCTGATTTACCTTCTTCTCGCAATGGCCCGAGAACTTCAGCTCATTGTCAACATACACTCCTAGGTCCTTCTCACATTCAGTCTCAACTAGTGCATTTTCTTCATCCCGTTGGGACATATGATACGCCTCCTTACCGTTGGCACGCCCCAGGTGCATCCTCTTACACTTCGTGACATTGAATCTCAGTAGCCATTTCTTCGACCATTCTTGGAGCCCACAGATGTCCTTCTGCAGCTCTTCACAGTCCGCTTGGTTCTTAATTTCCCGAAATAACTTGGCGTCATCGGCAAACATTTGTATGGAGGAGTGTACAACGTCAGGCATATCATTTATGAAACAAACAAACAACAGCGGGCCCAATACACTGTCCTGTGGTACCCCGCTTGTGACAGGTACGGATGATGATTTCCTGCCATTAATCACCACACACTGCTTGCGGTCATGTAGGAAGTCTACTATCCACACTAGGACATTTCCCCGAATTCCGTACCCTTGAGTTTGATTTTCAGCCTTTCGTGGGGTACACTGTCGAAAGCTTTGGCAAAATCTAAATATTGTCGATATTTCCACCCCGTTCCAGAATATGGGTCCAAATATCCAATTCCTTGAGCAATTGTGCTAAGCAGGAGCGCCCCGGCAAACAACCGTGTTGGCAATCCTTTACAAGGTTGTTTCGTATTAGAAGTTCCATATTATGCTGGTCAGGCTCACCGGTCAATAGTTGTTCATGTACATTTGGTTATGAAAGTCAGTGTCACGGGTCAGATCAATCTTTTAAGTCTATTGTTTACAATACATTCAATGTTCGAGTTTGTAAGGCAATAATGAAATTGAGATAAAAACACAACTGTTAACATCATTTTTACAACGTCAGCTCAGAAGGGACACGGGAGTACTGAGATTTTGTCATTATATCTTAGAGCGATAAGAAAATGGTTCTTTCAGGAGATTAATTACTTTCTAAAATAAAAAACTTATAATAATTTCAATACAAACATCAGATTCTCTGATTATTGGGAATAAACAATTATGTAGCTTCAGTAGTTAATTGGAAACTCAGTACGTACCCCAAGATGATGTCAAGACTCGTCACTGCGACTGGCAAACTATAAACTGAACTTATCGAACATTTTTACTAAAAGTAAATACAGTTGAAGCTTTCAACATCACTCACAAGGAATATTGAATGTTTTAAATGTAAGTAGACATATCTAACTTAATGTAACACATACGCATTCAGTTGCAATTTAAAATTTCATAGCATGACATGAAATACTAAGGAACATCACAGTCTCGGTACCACTCGAGAGAAAACGAAGGTCTCAGGCGCACTAAAGCTGTGAGAAAACGGACGTCTTAAATGGGGGACTCAATAATAAAGTTATAGCTACATGCTTTATGGGCTATTGAGCGTAATGTGAATCGTCTGATTTTACGCAAACTAATATGTACGACCGTGGTCAATACATGGAAATTCAACTGAGTAGTTCCTCCGAGATATTTATAAACTTAAATTAGATCTTACATTGTAAATAATAAGTCGCCATTTCGTCGTACTTAGAGAGAACCTCGAGGGTTTCGAGTTTAATGTCATGAATCGAGGGAATAAATATACGCTTTAGAAATATACAGTACATTCTATACTAGTTGCTTGTGACTGGCGGGGCTGTCACTGAGGTCTTTGTGAGTTGTTGGTGACTGGCGGGGCTGTCACTGAGGTCTTTGTGAGTTGTTGGTGACTGGCGGGGCTGTCACTGAGGTCTTTGTGAGTTGTTGGTGACTGGCGGGGCTATCACTGAGGTCTTAGAGTTGTTGGTGACTGGCAGGCTTGTCACTGAGGTCTTTGTGAGTTTTGGTGACTGGCGGGGCTGTCACTGAGGTCTTTGTGAGTTGTTGGTGACTGGCGGGGCTATCACTGAGGTCTTTGTGAGTTGTTGGTGACTGGCGGGGCTATCACTGAGGTCTTTGTGAGTTGTTGGTGACTGGCGGGGCTGTCACTGAGGTCTTTGGGAGTTGTTGGTGACTGTCAGGAGCTGTGAATGAGTTCTTTAATGTTTATGTTGCGTTACAGGACGTGCGTAAGACGGCCAAGGAACTACCATGGGTGGCCCTCGACTACCGGATCCAACTGAGAGACTTCAACCATGTGGATTTCTGGCGGAGAACGCGTGTGACCTTCTGTACCACCCTGTCATGAAGTTTTTCGATGACTTCTAACTTCAGGAACAACACCAAGGAACAAATTCTCCCAGAACTTCCAAATTATATACCTTGTGTTTTAAGAGTTAATTATATTATTTTATTATATCAAACATCACGATAATTTTGACTGGCATTTGTTATATTATTTAATTAACAACATATTAGCACATCCCCTAGACACGAATTAAAGAAAATGGGTGATCTTCTTAAATTCCTTTTATCAATCACATGTTATCGTAAACACTTATGTTATCTGTCCCTGTTGTTGCTTCAGTATCTAGGATCTTTAAGCATCGTTTGCCATATAACACAAATTCACGATGCCAGCTTAACGTATAATCTCACGCTGCCAGCTTAAGATACATACATTATCAGCTTATCACAGCTTAGTACGTAGTCACATAGTATGATCGGGTCCTGTAAATAAGCCTTCCTTACCAGAGTAAATAAAGCTAACTAGATGAATAATATAATGTTTAATATCAGCTTATGTTTTGAGAGAGAGAGAGAGAGAGAGAGAGAGAGAGAGAGCATGGGCGTCTGCAGAAAAAATGCAGGGGGAGGGCAATGTTATCCTGAATTCGACGTGTGAAGTCCACTGGCCGAATGTAGGAGGCTCCATTGAGGAGTACTATCGCCGCACCATCTATGTCCCGTACATGGATTCCTTGATCCAGTCTCTGGAAAGTCGCTTTGGTGAAAGTAACACGCCATATTTTCACATTTTCGCACTACATCCGAGAGAAATGCAGCAAACAGAAAGAGATGAATTCAAGCACATCGTTTCATCTGTCAAGGAAATGTATGGCATTGACAATCTTGTAGAAGAAGCTCTAGCGTGGTATGACGTGCAGAAGCATAAGCCACTGGATGACAACTCTCTGGGTATGATCGAGCTGGTGAAGCAGACCACTCTGTTCCCTGCTGTGCGCTTGGCTATCCTCATCGCACTGACTCTGCCTGCAACATCATGTACAGTGGAAAGGTCCTTCAGCACACTGCGCAAGGTGAAGACCTGGTTAAGATCAACGATAAGTGATAAACGTCTGTCCGGCCTCTGCATGCTAAGTGTCCACCGCGACAAAGTGAACAGCCAGAAGACCGAGCTAATGAACAGGGTCATTGACAATTTCGGAAGAGATCCCCGACGGCTCCAATTCCTGTTCCAAGAGTAGTAACCTGCTCTAACTGAATGAACTGTTGAGAAATGTTTATGTTATTTTATTCATTTTGTATTTTCCATGTAATTTTTTCAAATTTTTTTTTGAGTAATGCCTGCCCCCTCTCTGCGGACGCCCAATGAGAGAGAGAGAGAGAGAGAGAGAGAGAGAGAGAGAGAGAGAGAGATCTTTCCAAGAATCATCCTATTATTTTTTTACTTTGTGTTGATAACATACCTACATTGTTAATATACATGATGAACTGTATACCTGCATTATTTATAGTATACATGATGAATAATGTAAATGTAAACTTCAGTGAGAATTCAACTGAATCTCTCTCTCTCTCTCTCTCTCTCTCTCTCTCTACATTATCTGTCTGTTTCTTAATGTTTGAATATATTCTTTATGTAAATTTATTGTTTTATTAATAATACAATTAAAATATTTTAAGGTGTTATTTGTGTAGTTTTACTCATACTGATAATTAACGTAAAGGTTTTGGTTGACATAATAGAGAGACAATTACCAATGTTATTATTAGTAACTTATTCAATGAGTAAACAGAGCAAGTCCAGATTTTATGGATCACCTGAAAATTAGACACCCTAGCTTATTTCATCCCAAGATTAACCTAACCTAACGCTGATCAAACTTAACGTAACCTAACGTAACGTAACCTAACCTAACCTAACCTAACCTAACCAATGGCCACACATCACCACATACCGGACTATTAAAACATAAGCTATAATTATTCTATAAAAAACTGTGATAAATACAACTTCCTTTAATTAAAAAATATGTTGTAAAGTTTATTAGTTATTAAAAACAATATACATTAAGAATAAAGGAATAAAGTAATTTCCTGTGACCTTTCGTGTGTAAGATAAGTGAGCGTGTTGCGTTATGTGGTGAGCCGCGGTGGGAGAGCTTTAGCTTCCTGTTTACATGTTCGGTAACTGAGACTAGTTCAGGATTCTCGGATTTCTTGATGATCCCAGACTCTACTTTGTTTCGCCTGTTGATTAAATACCCTCGGGGATGAGGTTAGGTACTAGCTTAGATTAAGTTACAGTCGTATAGTTACGGTTCGGTTCGGTTTGGTTTGGCGTTAGCTTAGGTTAGGAGAGCTGTGATGCTTTTGCGCTGTAATCCTGACAAGTTTGACAGCATTGTTTTCATGAAACTATTGAAATATATGAGTCATGAAACTGGTGAATTTAATCGATCCAAACTACAGCTACACATATGAAGATGTTTGGACTAGACCATCTGTACAAAGTTGAGACGCAACAGCACTTCCTTCCACCCTGGCAGACAGTTCCCTTCGATATCACAATACCGACATATCCGCCTAAAAGATTAATTAAACAAAGCATTTATCTCCAACACACTGCCAAAGTGAGAGCTCTTGAACACATACACACTCTACAGACTGATGATGATATCACACAGACCATCTACACTGATGGATCTCTTAACACCGCCTGTGGGAGGGCTGGAAGTGCTATTGTTGTCACTCAACCTGACGGTAATATAATAAAAAAAAGAGGTAGAATTAACAACTGGGCATCCACTCTACAAACTGAATTAGTTGCCATACTCACAGCCATTAAATTTATTGAAACCAGTCACTGACAGTTTCATCATCACTGACTCTCTATCCTCACTACTTGCCCTTGACATCCTCGACTAAGTTGTCACGCACTTGTTTCTGAAGCCAGACACAAATATGTGTACCTTGTTGACCGGGGTGTCAGGGTCAAACTGTGGGTTTCGCCCTACCTTAACCTGACCTCACTGTGAGAAGATAGAACATTTTAGGGACAGGGCCAAGCGCACAGTGAGTGAAATGACACAGCACTTTGTCTCTAATGGCAAGGTATTGATATTGATAATGATACTAAAACAGTTTATTTAGCCAGAAAAACACAGATACAGAGTGGATAATAATAACAATATTAACATGGCTGAGCCAGTTGAGAACCTGAGCTGCACCTGATATATACTGTACATTTATCTCAAAGAAGTATTGTGTATCATCTGGAATAGTACAATAGCATGGTGGTAATAAAAACATGTTACCACGGTTATCACTTTGATTTTTTTTTTTACATTTATATTATAATATATAAATATTTTAAAGAGGAGTTGAAATCTGTATAAATGGAAGTCAGGGTTAAACAAAGGGGACATAACAAAGGTACTTAAACTATCCAACCAGGAGCGAACTCGGAACAATTATTTTGAATTAGACAAATTTAGATTTAGGCGCGAGACAAACATTGGTTTGGAAATAGAGTAGTGGATGAGTGGAACAAGTTATCGAATATCACCATTAAGTTGAACTCTCTGGGAAGCTTCAAATACAGGTTGGACGGATATATGAGCGATAAAGGTTGGGTACATGAGCCACTCACCAATTTTGAACAAAATTAATTTTTTTATCCCCAAAATATTCAAGGGGTCCAAAAGATTAAATTTTCCCAACATCTCAGTGTAGGTCATCCAAGACACGCTGATTAAAGATCTGTGGTCGAAATGTTGAAATTTGGATAATTAATTCTCATAATTGAGTGTCCTCATATCAATAGCATAATTAATTATCAAAACTTGATAATCTAGCCAAAACTTGACAATCTAGGATACCGTAAGGCAATTAATTATAACAAAATACAACATTTCGACCACAGATCTTTAACTTCTTATCCAGGAAGCTCAACCCCCTCTGGTCGCCCCCGCCATATTAAACAGAAAATACTTACAATACTTTAATATCTGGTACCAATGAGAGCAACTGTAATAAATCGTCATAGTGTAATTTTACATTTTCTTGTGGACACCAGAATATGCTCGGACTGAGTGGGCTCGATGTAAACAACGTCCAGACAACACATGCTGACTTGGCAGATTTTTGGAGGAGTATTTATGGGAAATAATAAAAATTTTACACACAAAACACATGGAGACATATGTCCAGTTTTTCACCAAGTCTTACCCAGTAATTCCCCCCATCCTTCACGCACTGCCGACTACAGGTGCTTTATGATCGGAGATATGAGTTGGCCAATATTCTCACTCTTCGTTCTTTTATATCCTTATTACTATTGTATTTCATTCTTGACGTTGACATGTCAGAAGAAGAAATTCCTGACGATCTCACGATGTCAGCCACTCCAAAGAACACGTTCGTTATACCGGAAGAAGTACCAGAGAGGAGCCCCGAATTATATACTGTACACTAACTGATTTGTTTACAAAAAGCTGGAACTGGAAAATCAATCTGTTTTTATGCATATCTATATTTTGTTGACTTTTGACCATATTAAACGTTTAAATTGCCCAGTTTATAAATTGATACTGCCAAGATTATTAGCCTGAAATCTGTAAATTACAATAAAGTTATTCTAAACCACATAGTGTGAAATATGTATTTGTAGTGCAATGTTTGTGTGACGGAATAACATACTTATGGTAGGAGATGCAACCATTTTAAAACTGCTTTGCATTTCCCTATTTCACTGCAGTTTCCTACAAGATTTATATTTTTTTTTGTAATCATAGATAAAGCTAAAATGCAAGGTATATATACTAATAGGCAGGGATTATCTCTTGAATTGGGTGTAAGTAATCTTGGGTACGAGTTATCTTGGGTACTAGCTGTCTTGGGTACGAGTTATCTTGGGTACTAGCTGTCTTGGGTACGAGTTATCTTGGGTACTAGCTGTCTTGGGTACGAGTTATCTTGGGTACTAGCTGTCTTGGGTACGAGATGACCCAAACCCTTTGAGATATTTATAAAATTCAATTCGGCAGTGGATATTTTGCCGTGACCAACTGAACTCCTACTAATGCCATTTTCCTGTGACTGTGCTCTGATTGGCTAATTAAATAAAAATAACAATACACAGAACCTATTAGAACCTTACCTTACTTCACCTCACCTAACTACCTAGCCTGTGCATTGTTGTTTATATTTTCCTACTATCATCCAAACAACATCTCTAGAAAAAATGAATGCAGTGGATATTTTGCCATTTTATTCGCCGGTAATGGATGATTAACCAATCAGAGTGCACTCACGGTAAAATAACGTTAGTAGGAACTTAGCCGGTCACGGCAAAATATTCTCTGCATTTATAATATAACAGAAGAGGGTATTAGAAATATATTGTCCAGGCTAAAGGTCCATAAGAGTCCCGGCCCTGACATGGTGCATCCTAGAGTGCTAAGAGAGTTGTGCAACGAGCTTGCCGAGCCCCTGAAGATCCTGTTTTGTAAATGCCTGGATGAACAAATGGCCCCCAGTGAATAGAAAGTGGTTTATGTGAGTCCTATCTTCAAGAAGGGCGATCGTCACTCCACGAACAACTATAGACCGGTGAGCCTGACCAGCATAATATGTAAAGTACTTGAGAGTATTATCAGAGATGCCGCAATGGAACATCTAATACTAAACAACCTTGTAAAGGATTGCCAACACGGTTTTATGCCGGGGCGCTCCTGCTTAACACAATTGCTCAAGGTATTGGATATTTGGACCTATATTCTGGAACGGGGTGGTAATATCGACAATATTTTCCTAGATTTTGCCAAGGCTTTCGACAGTGTACCCCCATGAAAGGCTAAAAATCAAACTGGAAGGGTACGGAATTCGGGGAAATGTCCTAGTGTGGATAGAAGACGTTCTACATGGCCGCAAACAGTGTGTGGTGATTAATGGCACGAAATCGTCATCCGTACCTGTCACAAATGGGGTACCACAGGGCAGTGTATTGGGCCCGCTGTTGTTTGTTTGTTTCATAAATGACATGCCTGACGTTGTACACTCCTCCATACAAATGTTTGCCGATGACGCCAAGTAATTTCGGGAAATTAAGAACCAAGCGGACTGTGAAGAGCTGCAGAAGGACCTCTGTGGGCTCCAGGAATGGTCGAAGAAATGGCTGCTGAGATTCAATGTCACGAAGTGTAAGAGGATGCACCTCGGGAGTACCAACTGTTACCGCCACAGTAAGATAAACACGAGAGAGAGAAAGAGAGAGAGAGAGAAGAGAGGCAGTGCTGACAACGTGTTTGTTAAAGTGTCTAAAATGAAATAGATGGCCCTCGCCTCGGGCTGCGATTGGGTGGCGATTGCTCACAGTAGTCTACCAATTCTTGCAGGAGAAACAACACGCTGGTCGAACCCAAGACCCTAAAACGTAAATAAAAACTCTAAATAACTTTAATAAGTATATTTATGTACTGTAATTTGATCATATAATACAAATTGTCTCCTCATGTATCAACAGTTGTAACATGTGAGTTATATTTAAGATGTTAACAGGCTATGTACTGTATATTGATTGTATTATTCATACTATGTGTCCTGAGATAACAGCATTTGTTATATGTGAATTGTTCTTTGACAGGTTTTGACCGAATTATATGGTACGAGTCAACGTTGAGGGTTTATTTCTCCAGCAACAAACCAATAACGCTCCTATGAGCGTTAACACCAACGGTAAGGAGGCGTATCATATGTCCCAACGGGATGTAGAAACTGTACTATTTGAGACAATGTAAGAAGGACCTAGGTGTGTATGTTGACAATGAGCTGAAGTTCTCGGACCATTGCGAGAAGGTAAATCAGGCAAATAAATTATTGGGTCTTATAAGAAGGTCGTTCAGATATCTAGACGGTCTGTCCCTCGTAACGATCTTCAAGAGTGAAGTGCTTCCCCATCTGGAGTACTGTCACCCCGTCTGGTCCCCGAGATATGCGAGGGAATGCCAGTTGGTTGAAAATGTTCAAAGGAGGGCCACCTGACTGGTGCCTGCCCTCGTCACCTCAGCTACCCTTCTGTTTCTGTTTTTTTTTGTCCTTTATATATATATATTGATGGGGATAATAACACAGTCTTTCAGAAAATACTTTTGTTGAAAACTTCATTCTCTACCAAGACAAACATTAAATTACACAATAACAAAAGTCGGAAAAATTTAAGATGGCCACCACATTCAATGTAACAAGATGGCCGCCACATTCAAACACACAAAGATGGCCGCCACATTCAAACACAAAAAAGATGGCCGCTATATTAAACACAACGACAAAATTTCCAGATATATTTTGTTTATATTCCTGATGAGTAGTAGAGGTAAAGGGTGACTAAAGCCTTCAATGACTCAGCCATTGTTGGGCATCCCTCTCGGTTATAAGACCAGCTTGGAAAGCCTTGTTGACAAAATCCCTGGTAGTTTTCCCAACAACACCAGAACGACTGCGGGTCTTAGCTGTAACAAGAAAAGAGTAAATTACCATGTGTTTCATTAATTACCGTACAGTCCCCTTCACTAGTGCGTTTACAGGGGCGCATCAGGATTTGTGCAGTGTCTCAAGGTAATGATTTGTGGAATGTTTACATGACGAGCGCTAGTTAAGGGGACTGTACGTACGTGAATACATACCCAAACTTGCCTTGAGTCATAGCTGTGTATTATATATATGACATGTCTATAGATGTTAACATGTCATTTATTTAAAACTAAACAAAAATCTATAATAAATTCCACTTTGAAATATAACGGTTATCAACGGTCATTTAACTGTTATTAACGGTCACTAACGGCCATTTAACTGTTATTGACGGTCACTAACGGTCATTTAACTGTTATTGACGGTCACTAACGGCCATTTAACTGTTATTGACGGTCACTAACTGCCATTTAACTGTTATTGACGGTCACTAACGTCCATTTAACTGTTATTGACGGTCACTAACGGCCAATTAACTGTTATTGACGGTCACTAACGGCCATTTAACTGTTATTAACGGTCACTAACGGTCAAAGCATTTTACTGATAACAGTTTATTGTACCTTTAGCTTTTATAATTTTTTCTTTTATCGTATGCAGCAAATTAAATTTATTCTAATATCAGTAATTTAGAAAATATCATTTTGTTTATATTTTTGGGATTTGGATTGTGTCTCAATTATCAGAATGCCTGGTGATAATTTGTCTTGTTGATGGTGATAATTTCTCTACCTGAAAATGAATTGGTATGCAAAATAATGATGAGAAATTGGGAAATAAATTAAGAAAAAATAGGGACAAAATTCACCTTCTCCCCTAATACTTGTCCAGCCTGGGCACCACATCCTCCCCTTGAAGTACAGCTGAAACCTTCTGACGGTGGGCTTGACACTGAACCGGCAGGGGTGGTCAAGCAGGTCAACATGTCCGTTTTGCCATAACCTGTGCCGGGAGAATGTACATTATTTATTAGAGAAGTAGACAGAGGTAACAAAATATATATATAGTATATACCATTATAATTTTTGTGTAAGATAATATGACACATCGGACGAAAGATTTTGACAACTCTACCGAGACAATTCTAGGTTATTTCACTTGAATATGAACCATTCTAATACTAACTTATCCTAACCTAACTTAACGTAATTTAACCTAACTTAATCTAAATTTAACCCAACCCCTTCCCCAGGTAGGTTAGCATGATTTATCTTCAGGTGATCCGTTCTATACAATACATGGCACGTTACGAGAGTCCTCCGCTTACCCAACCACTTTAGAGGCGACAGCTGCTGCTACTGCCGCCCATCCCTGGGCGTTGCATTGTGGCGTGATGGTTGTCACTAACAGCGACACCACCAACACACTCACTAACACAGACTGACGCATCCTGTAGTGCTCGCTGGTGTCGTCGTAGTAGGGAGAGTGAGTGAGCCTTGACGGGTGAATGCCTCTGAGTCTTGTGCCGCCTCATTCTTCCCTCAGGAGTATATAAAAGCTGCCAGCGACCACTGCCTGAGGTCACAACATCACCAACTTCTACTCGCCTACCAGCCACTTCAGGAGTTTTTTTTTTTATTGACTTGTATGTATGTGTAACTAATTCTCTGTTTACTAGATTGTGATGAGTAATGTTTGTTGATGTGTATTTTGTGATGGGTTAAGTAGAGGTGGTTAATTGACAGTCGTGCAACCTACCAGTGGAGCTTCTGGGAGGGGGAGGGTTCTCCCTGTGTGTTGACACTATTATCTTTACCGGGGAACTCCGTCACTCACAGAACTTTTTGATACGAAGTAGGGTTATAAAGTGTAATGGAATCACCTGAAGCTAAAGCAACGCATATTAATTCAACTGATGGTTAAAAACTTTAACCCTTTGTATGGCAGCACCGCACGTAGATTTATTCTGGTTAGCTTAGGTTAGGTTAGGTTAGGTTAGGTTAGTTTAGTTTAGCTTAGGTTAGGTTAGGTTAGGTTAGGATCTTTAAGCGATTACCTAAAGAATCTTCACCCTGGCTTATTTCACCTAAGGAGTAACCTAACCTAACCTAACCTATCCACAGTATAACACAAATACCGTCTTACTTATACAGGGGTTTTATCAATACAATTTCTTTTCATGTAACCCATAATCCACAACCCACAACTTACAACCCACAACCCACAACTTACAACCCACAATCCACAACCCACTACCCAAAAGCTACAATCCACAATCCACTACCCTCTACCCACAACTTACAATCCACACTCCACTACCCACAATCGCGTAGATGGTAGCGAGACTAAGTTGGGTCATCATAGAGACGTGAGAAACACACCAACATGGAAGCTATTTTCTCATATAACCTCTTGAGTACGATATCTTAACCTCTTGAGTACGATATCTTAATCTCTTGAGTACGATATCTTAACCTCTTGAGGACGATATCTTAACCTCTTGAGTACGATATCTTAACCTCTTGAGGACGATATCTTAACCTCGTGAGGACGATATCTTAACCTCTTGAGTACGATATCTTAACCTCTTGAGGACGATATCTTAACCTCGTGAGGACGATATCTTAACCTCTTGAGTACGATATCTTAACCTCTTGAGTACGATATCTTAACCTCTTGAGTACGATATCTTAACCTCTTGAGGACGATATCTTAACCTCTTGAGGACGATATCTTAACCTCTTGAGGACGATATCTTAACCTCTTGAGGACGATATCTTAACCTCTTGAGTACGATATCTTAACCTCTTGAGTACGATATCTTAACCTAACCTTGAGGACGATATCTTAACCTCTTGAGTACGATATCTTAACCTCTTGAGACGATATCTTAACCTCTTGAGACGATATCTTAACCTCTTTACGATATCTTAACCTCTTGAGTACGATATCTTAACCTCTTGAGTACGATATCTTAACCTCTTGAACGATATCTTAACCTCTTGAGACGATATCTTAACCTCTTGAGGACGATATCTTAACTCTTGAGTACGATATCTTAACCTCTTGAGTACGATATCTTAATCTCTTGAGTACGATATCTTAACCTCTTGAGTACGATATCTTAACCTCTTGAGGACGATATATCTTAACCTCTTGAGGACGATATCTTAATCTCTTGAGTACGATATCTTAACCTCTTGAGTACGATATCTTAACCTCTTGAGACGATATCTTAACCTCTTGAGTACGATATCTTAACCTCTTGAGTACGATATCTTAACCTCTTGAGTACGATATCTTAACCTCTTGAGTACGATATCTTAACCTCTTGAGTACGATATCTTAACCTCTTATCTTAACCTCTTGAGACGATATCTTAACCTCTTGAGTACGATATCTTAACCTCTTGAGTACGATATCTTAACCTCTTGAGTACGATATCTTAACCTCTTGAGTACGATATCTTAACCTCTTGAGTACGATATCTTAATCTCTTGAGTACGATATCTTAACCTCTTGACGATATCTTAACCTCTTACGATATCTTAACCTCTTGAGTACGATATCTTAATCTCTTGAGTACGATATCTTAACCTCTTGAGTACGATATCTTAACCTCTTGAGACCTCTTTGAGAACGATAGACGATATCTTAAACCTCTTGAGTACGATATCTTAACCTCTTGAGGACGATATCTTAACTCTTGAGAGTACGATATCTTAACCTCTTGAGTACGATATCTTAACCTCTTGAGTACGATATCTTAACCTCTTGAGGACGATATCTTAACCTCTTGAGTACGATATCTTAACCTCTTGAGTACGATATCTTAACCTCTTGAGGACGATATTTTAACCTCTTGAGGACGATATCTTAACCTCTTGAGTACGATCGTCCTCTAAGGGTTAAAATGGGAATTAATAATTATATCTATCAAGTTATCGATTATGGTAATGTGTTTTGACGCCATTGTGGTTAAATAGTCAATTTCTTTATGATCTCTTTGTTGTGTTTCAGTTGTAATACGTTGGGAGAGGGGAAGGGGGATGTGGGGAGGAGTGGGAGAGGGTGTGAGGAGTGGGGTGTGGGGAGTGGGGAGGTGTGGAGGGGTGGGGAGGGGTGTAGGGAGGGTTGTAGAAGTGGAAAAGGATGTTGATAAACTACAAAACATTTTTCAGAACTAGGGGTAGTGGGAGAGGGGAGGATGGAGGAAGAAGGGGAGGGGGGAGGGAGGAAGAAGGGGGGGAGGGAGGGAGGAGGAGATGGTAAACGGGTCAAGCACCATGAGAAAGTTCACATGTCTGGGTAAATATTTGTAATATTTAATCACATAACAAAGTTTGTTTCAGAGGACTAACTTAAATTATGTTTTGTGATCAAGTGAAGATTAGAGCCCCAGCTTATTACTCTTGATGGATAAACACCCTAACGCTACCTGGGCTGGGCTGGGTTGGGTTGGATTAGGTTGGGCTGGGTTGGATTAGGTTGGGCTGGGCTGGGTTGGATTAATGTAAAACAAGCTGGGTAAAACAAGCTGGGTAAAACAAGCTGGGGTGCCTAATCTTCACCTGGTGTATGTTTTTGTCATTCTCTTTGACATTTTTGTTGAGGGAATAACTATGGAAGAAGCTCAAAGGTCAGATATATTGCTGCCGTGATAACAATTCCCTCTAAACCTGAATCACTGGTCTACTGTTTCCCTCACCTGGCCAGCAGCTCATTAGCAGCCACTGTTAAATACTCTAACCTGAACTGATCCTGGCACTGTGGAGGCGAGGGGTGGCACCAACACACACTGCCGTTGATGTTGTCTTGTTCCAATAGTCAACTGTCGAGCCTTGTCCTGGTGTGAGGGGGCTGACAACACCTGCGTTAAGGTGTTTAGGGTCTCAAGCACTCACACTCATTTATTTCTAACAAAAATCAAAACCATTTACTCTCTCTCTCTCTCTCTCTCTCTCTCTCTCTCTCTATATATATATTTCACTCTGTAAAACGTTTCTCTGTCTAATCTTTGTATTTATTATCTCTATTCTAGTAGTTTTTCCTGGGTGCAATAATCGTCGTGGGGGCAGCGGCCTCAGCACAACCTTCCTTCAGTGTGTGTGGAGGGGGGAGGAAGAAGGTGGGGATGGGGGTGGGAGAGGGTGGGGATGGGGGGGGGGGAGAGGGTGGAGACGAGGGAATCCCACAGTTTGTTTTGGCCCACCCCCAGCTTCACGAAGACGTCACGGCAGCCTTCAGGGAACCCCGGGCACGGCTCCTCCACGTGACCAGGCAGCTTAATCCCCACACCCTAACGGTACGCCTACGTCTGTGTACTGTATCGTAGCACACCAGGATACACCCTTGTGATATATGACGACACTTCCACAGCCTGTGTATAATTTTTCCTCACCATTACGACAACTATTCGATTAAGACTCATTAGATGATATAAGAACATAAGAATGGAGGAAACTGCAGCGGGCCTATTGACCCATACTGGGCAGTCCCGTTTATACCCAACCCCTATTGCTCATATAAGCATCCAACCTATGTTTGAAGCTATCCGGCGTATTCGAGTTAATGATGATATTTGGTAACTTGTTCCATTCATCCACTACTCTGCTCATATAAGCATCCAACCTATGTTTGAAGCTATCCGGCGTATTCGAGTTAATGATGATATTTGGTGTTTACCTATTTCACGCCTAAATCTAAATTTGTCTAATTTAAAACCATTGTTACGGGTTCGCTCCTGGTTGGATAGTTTGAGTACCTTTGTAATGTCCCCTTTGTTTAACCCTGATTTCCATTTATACACCTCTACCATGTCGCCCCTCACTCTACGTCTCTCGAGGGAGTGCAAATTAAGATGCTTTAACCTGTCTCTGTACTCAAGGTTCTAATGCCCGGGAATAGTCTTGTCATTCTAGATGGAGGTGAAGAATTATCATATATATATATATATATATATATATATATATATATATATATATATATATATATATATATATATATATATATATATATATATATATATATATATATATATTAAAAGAACTGCTATGACGTCACTATCCTCAAACTGCAATGAAAACAACGAAATTATGTATAATCATAGGAATTATCTATTGACTTAGTGATAAAGAAGAGAAGCTTATTGGTCTAAGTAATTATACATGAATTTTTAGGTAGTAGGCAGCTACCAAACAGGGAGGTACTACCGCCTGAGAAGATATTGGAAGCATAATGTGTTGTCTAATGGTAGACCCTGCTGCCATATGTGACCAAGTCCCAGGTTGATGATCTGACTTTCTGCCTCATTTACACACAATTGCTGGGTCTCAGTTGTTTCTCTTACTTGACAACACAACATACATATATTGTTCTCACTATTGATCTTTTTTTCATTTTTGTATTCCTTTAAGGTTCTTTATTATTATTATTATTATTATTAT